CAAAAGGTAGCTCTACGGAAGGGCACATATGCAAGACTGGGGTGAACATGAACTAAATTGGCCTGTGCAATTGCTCCAAAGAGTAATGCCTTGGCATAGATTCATGGGCAGCTGGGAAATAAGGAATGTATTTTTACTTTATTTTCAAACACAACCAGAACAAGTAACAAAAGTGAGACTTACATAGCCCTGGTACACAGAGCCAGAGGGAACTTTGGGTAGTAACCCTGGAGAGATAATGTGGATGGGTTCTACCACCAGGAGTTGCTGAAGGTAAGGTAGGAAGGAGTTCAGAAAGGGAAAAGGTAGCCAAGTTAAAAATACGTCTTGTCCTTGCTTTGCACGTGAAAGAACACAGTGGGCAGAAGACCTCATAGATAAGCTCATCTCTGCAATTTCTGGCCATAGATGTTAAGGTATCCAAGGAAAGGAAAGTGACAGTGATAGTGACAGTAAGAAGATACAGAGGCAATATTTTTCCAGCAGTGAAAGCTTTAGTCTTTGAAATGCTCGTTTGTTCTGACTGCTGTTAAATATAAGAAAACAGCAAAATAAATACATATGTAAGAAGCAGATACACATGTAAGAAGCAGAGAAGTTAGGAAGTGAGGACTAGAAAGCTGTAGAAAAATCTAAAGAATTAGCTACTTGGGCTTTTGCATTACTGAAAAAATATCTGGAAATATGGGGACTGTGTAATTGCCTTTAACATAGGTGTGAAGATCATTAATGTCATAGATAATCTGACAGCAGCCTTTACTGGAGGTGATTATGAGAAAACGCAGTTCATTCCCCACCTCAAATGCATGCAGCTGAAGAGTGAATTCAGATGTAACCACTTACAAGTAGTGCCCAGTTCAGCAACCAGCACCTAGCACATAGTGTGCTACACCTCTTTGTACATGAGGGGTAACTTCATCATGCCATTGCTATAGGCAAGACAGTAAAATCATTCTTCATTTCCTAGATAGAGAGCTTTGGAGAAACCACAGCTGAGCTTAAGGATGGCAGACAGCAGAGTGATTCTGTGGGACGTACTGGGGCTTGCATCTCTGTAGCTGGGATCTGTTGGGGCTGGGATCTACGGGGTGGGCAGCTTTGAGTCCTGCTTGAGTGCCCCAGCATGTAACGCTCAGTACTAGCACTGCTTTGGGAAATAGCTCTGCAAAACTACTGCAGTGATCTGCTGTAGCTTACTCCACTTTTCTGTCAGTGGGAGCATATGCCCTGTAGGAAAACTTGTTCTTTCTTGATTTCATTATTCTCCTCTTGTACTGCCTTCACCACCCTACCTGTGAGTGCTAGCCACAGCCTACATGTGGGGCTACACGACACAGAGAAGCAGCACATCACAGGGCCTGAAATGTCACCTGTATGTCCGCTTCTCTTTTTAGTTCTGTTTTCTTCTTGGAACAGACTATAACAAAGTTTGCACTCAGGCTCCTCAAAGACTGGTGCGCAGCAGGTCATCGCTACACTTCTTGTGTTTAGCAGGCAAGCAGTTCCTGTCTCTGCTGTTCCAAATCACAGGACTCAGCTGTGACTGCTGTTCATGCAGAGAGAGGGACGTTGAACTCTTATCAGTCCTTTCTCTCACTCCTAGTGGTACAATTTAACTCTTTGACCTCTCTGTTTAAAACGTTTGGAGTTACTGGGGAGTCCTTGGATTAGGCAGATATTTGGCAGCAGAATGTGGGAGAGAAAATGAAGAAAAGAAGCATAACTACTACTCCACTTCTGGTTAGAAAAGCAGAGGAGACAATGTGTGGAGAGATTTTGCATTTTACTCAGTAGTCATCCAAGTGCCTCCAAAGACCCCAGCAAATGTGTGGTATTTCTAAGGTGCTGGTTTGGTCTTTTTCTACACACTTAGACCGTTATATACGAAGACCTGTGCAGCAGTGGTGTGTTTACTGATGGTTCCACCTAGTGATGAGATCAGCTCTCTAGAAATGTCACTAAGATGAATGTTTATGGCTACTTACTTCTCTGACAGTTTCAGAAAAGAGGAACAAGGGACCTCCATTTTCCACACAGAATGTATATTAAAATTTCCAAGTGCAGTTTCTGCTTGTCACTTACATGTCCGTTTATTTCCATACTTGTTCTTGGCACATTAACTTGCATAAAGGAAGGAAATGAAATGCTAAAAGGGTAAAGCAGCAAATGTTATTGTTAATACTCCATTTAAGGCTGTCCAACTGATCATTTCAAGCCATTTGAGTCAGTGAGATTTTCAACAATATTTCAGCAAGGTGAGAATATTACCTTCAGATTTAGTTTATTACTTTGGCAAATTGCATGTGTATTATGTGTATGTATGTGTGTTTGAGTATGTGAGTTCCTGTACGTGAGTGTAACCTACTGTAACACCTTTGTTTACAAGCTGTTTATAGAAGTGTTTATGACAGTTTCAGTTTAATGGATGCTGTATAAAACACCTTTATCCTTTAATCATTTTTATGTCCCTATGCAAAAAGGCCTTGCCATTAGATTCCACAACTTGCATTTGCTAAAGACAACACTAGAAAAGCTGCTTAAGTCTTTTTTCCCTGACTCGCATTCAAACTCCATAGTTAAGATCAGGAAATTTTGCATTAGAAATCATGGGAAATCTGCTGATCAGCTTTGTCATTTGTTCCTATTATATTTTAACACAAAGCAAATTTCTGAAAGATATACTATTTACACGTACCACATGTCCCAAAGACTGTAGCATATCATGTTCTATTTCTGCCATGGGAAGTGAGAAAAATAAGGTTCATCACAGACAGTGGGATGGAGGGTGGATGAAAGTGGGGTAAAAACCTGAAGAAATGATCCTATAAGCTAGATTTATCTTCATAACTTTTTCCAAACTTGTTTTTCAAACTCTGCAACACCTTTCCTAGCAGCAAACTACACATTAGTCTTGTAACACCCTGTGTAAGATACCTTCTTGGAAAGAATGCATTTCTAACCCTCAGCAATGTCTGGAGCGTTTCAGTTATCTACAGGCTTAAAATACAGGAAAATAAAACAAAACAAAAAAATCCAATGCTACATTTGCAAGTGTGACAGAGTAAGAACATGCAGTGCACTGAAGCAGACCCAAGAAGCATTGATGAAATGAAGAGGACGGTATTTGGGTTCCAAGGATGCAGAGTTCCAATTGATGACAATAATTCTGTTATTAGCAGAATCAGGGTCCAAGCTCCTACATTCTATGACAAAGTATTGACATAGTCCTAGTGATAATGTCCTAGTAAACAACTGTAAATACAAAAATAGATTTATTATTTAGGAACATCAAAAGACTGGAAAATGCAAGAAACCTTGATACAAGTATCGCTATATGCCTAAACCAGGACAGATGACTGATAATAAACCAAAAACCTCCACGCTGTAAGACAACAGCTAAAAACTCAGCTGGAGAAAATAATGTAAGATTTCCAGACTGCATTCTCACAAATGCTAAAATCATACCCGAAGTCACAAGACTTAAACAACTGTGGAATCAAGTTAAAGAAGACTTGGAGAATATGGTAAAGTGAAGACTGGACAGTCTTCAGCCCTTGAGACCATCATGCAGCAAGAGGATGGACTCCTAATGAGTCACATGGATTCATGGGGAAAAAAAAATTCTAAATGTGATATATAACGACATGAAAATTGTTACACTAACAGTCAACCTACATCTAACCAAATAGTATTGAGAGGTACACTAACAAAAGTTAGTGGGGAGAATGGCCTTTTTTTATACTTCAAAAGTATTTTAAAAATTATACTTTCACATTTAAAGAACAATAGCCTTTGGTTTACAAGAAACAGCAGCAGTATTTCAGGGACAAATGCATGGGGCTGTTGGGTTCCATGGGCAGTAAGCTGCACATCTGTGCTACTGCGATCTGTGCCTTACAGGCAGACTGTGCAAAACCTCTGCAGGCAACAGCATCACCCAGGGGGGCAGACACCCAGCAGGCACAGTTCAGTATCTACCAGCAAAAGTCAGTATTAAATACCAGAAATTTCCATTAGACAGTGCCCATAGGACCTGAAGAATGTCTTACAGGAACCAAAAGAAACAAGGGCAATTTTTGGGTCCAGCCAGTTATTGCAGAGAACCGGTGCCAATGTTTTTTTAAAGAACCGCACTACTGGCAGAACTTGCAAAGCCAACATTGTACATGGGGGATAGAAAGCAAGTGCCAGATGGCAGCAAGGCTTTCACATGCTCTGGGAAATGTTGTGCTCAACGGGTTCTGAAAGCATCCAAATTTCCTGAGCATACCGTTCAAGAAAAGCCTTTGGGGCTATATAGCCCCATAACAGTAGAACTAGGGATAGATGCATTAAGTACTATACTTGAGCAGAAAACTGGTGCAACTAGAGTGTGTATTATGTTGGTTACACAGCAAGGGGAGCTGTTCCTGAGTTCACACCTCAGGTTTTTCTCCAACCCTGTCTCACAAGTTGATTAGTGAGGTAAGTGGTAACAACAGGCTGCCAAAGTGGCTGTAGGCTGAAGCATGATCCCCTGTAACAACCTGTTCAGTTGATCACATAGAAAAAAGTGTAAGAGAGCAACCACCCTCTCCAGCTCCCCTGGGTCAGAGCACAGAGGTCTAGAATAGTGAAAGAAACTCCACACTATGGGCCACATGTTATAAAAAGGTAGCCTGGTCTTATGGCTGTGGTGGGGGTACAGAACTAAGGGCAGACTGGATGGAGGGAAAGTGGGAGCTTGGAGAGTGGAACAATATTCAGGGCCTGGAAGGAATCAAAGAAAAAGATGCTGTCAAGAAAGACTATGTTAAAGAACAGCTATTCAAACAGCATCGTGATGAGCAAAAGAAATTGATGAATGGGTTGTAATGGAAGCCATAAATAATTCATAGAGAATATCAAGGAGGTTTTTTTAAACTGTAGCTTTTTAAAAAAAATTACAAGATGAATTTACACAACCTGACCTCTTCAGAGTTCCTCATAAAAATAATAATAAAGTACCCAAATACCAGATATAGATTTATAATATACTTTAAATCAGGTATTCAGCTGGAAGATTAAAAAATACAGAAATCCTTGTTTAGATTACAGGTCCATAGGAAGTGAACATTTCTTCTGCTATTAGGTCAATACATTTTCTGTTTGGAAGTGGAATGTTTTTAAATGATACACAGAAAATTGGAACAACAGCTAAAAATTCTGAAACTACCTTGGAGTTATTGGGATAGGTGTGTTTCTGCTGATTTTTGATGCTGCTGGAACATGCCGCACTCAGCAATTTCCTTTGGTCACTGCAGTAACGCTTGAAATACAAACCCAGTCTTTCCTGATGTTTTCAGTGGCAGTCCTTTTCCATTGTTCTGGGTGGCACCCCGATCAGGTTTCAGGTTCTGAGAGGCTTGACTAACCTGTGGGTACCCTTTCTTTCTCCATCTCCCTGCTGCAGGGTGCGCAGGAACATGAGCTGCCAAGGTTGATAAGGCACACGGTGGCACCCTGGCTTCTCTTGTCCATCCCTCTGAGACATCCTTGCCCTCTGAGACGTTTCCTAATTCCTGAACTCGTCAGGGCTGAACTGCTGGTGTCACAATTGAGAGCTGGATTTCTGTGCAAGTGCCTCTGAAACATGTTAACCATATCAAATGCCATTTAACTCACCCCTTCACCCGCTGGACTGGGTAGTTGTTTTTTCCATGCAAGCACCTAACCCAGGAAGGTTAGCTGATTGCACAGCGCAGCACAAAGTGTTGCTAGGGTGGTGAGAGTAGGTGGAATTAATTACAAGAAGAAGCAGATCTGCCATACTTTCATCCAGTTCCTGACAGCACAGGCACAGTCCAGCTTTCCCTTTTCTTACCCAAGGTAGCAGCTGGATTGGAGCTGCTACAGAAAGGGGAGCAGATCCTAGTGATGGGTACAGGGTCAGGCCTGATTTGGAATAAATTTTCTTGCACTGGAAAGACCTTGTACACAGAGACGGGCCAGCTGATTGCAGGAGGCATTTGAACACAGAGGAGAAACTTTCATGAGTTGGAGCACACCTCAAAAGAGAGGGGTGAAGTAGGAACCTTCAAGCTGCTACCACATGCAACATGTTTGACTTACACAAGTACAACACAAATACTCAGACAGACAATAGCAATTGGTCAAATTGCCTATTGCTTCGCAATACCTACTTATGCTTAGCCAATAATGTGTTTATTTAAGATTCTTATGAATTATTACATGATTTTTAAAACAAGTTTTAAAACCATACTTGGAATGTTATTTCTGACACAGGGATTGTGTCGGAAAAGTTACCCAGTATGCAGATTCAGTGGGAAGCCATTGCATTCTTAATCCAAGAAACAAAACTAGGAATTTGGACAAAAACAGGCTTTGATGACTGGGTACAGTCCAGTCCCCAAGAGGTGACTCCATATTGGACAAATCTGTCCTTGTCTTGGCAGACCAGAGGTCCTCCAACTTCAGCCTAGGGAGGAAAAGAGAGTATAAAGTGACTACTCTAGTGATGGAGACACTAGGCATGCAAACAGGAAAATACTGGTAGGAATAATACTGTAACTCTGAAGGCCTCAAAATATAACTAACCCAAGGGCTCTAGAGAGAGGGAGAGTGTTTTATTAGACTTGCTGGAGTAAAAGAACTGGCGAGGGGAGGAGGAGGGGATGGAAAGTTATAAGTTATTTCCAAGTAGCCAGGCCATTTTCCTGGTGTGAAGATCTACTAGTCATGGATGTGGGTAAATCCCCAGATTACTGTGAGACCCATTACAAACACACAAAAAGGGAAGTTTCCTAATTTTCCACATCCTCTGCTCTACTGGACAAACTTAGCTTCATTTTTTTTAATGCTATTCCTTAAAATCCAGACATGGCAGGGTATGAGTACCTACATCCAATGATTTTTGGCCCTATCAATGAACACACTGCCCACACTCTCAAAGGTATAATTTACACTGGCAGTCTGGAACACCTGCTCAGACAGACCTGTGTTTGCTTGCTGACTCTGTCACTAGTTACCACCTTTTTATTGAAAAGCTCACAATATGATAGCCTCCATCAAGAAAACCACATTTTAAAAGTCTTGAAAATTATATGCATTGATCTGATTATACTCAAAGCTAGATTATTCTTACCTCACAGTTATCTATGCCTCCAAAAGTAAATCCACCACAAAATTCATTATTTTTGACACTTCCATTCATAAATTCGGGCCGATTACATATTTCATTTTCAAGCACAGGGAATTCAACATCTTTTAATCTGTTGTCTGCATTTGTACCTTTATGAACAAGCAAGAAAATATGAGAATTATAAATTGCAACCTGAGTGTTGTGATCCAGTGAAGCTGTGAAGCCTCAGTAATGAAAGAACTGGGATCCGTCCCCAGCTCTACTGTAGTCTCTGAGATCCTTGAAGGATCTTATTAAATCTTCCAACTTTTTTTGTGCTTGGTTCATACTTAGCATCAACAAGCAGAGGTTATTTTCCTTTGCAAAGTGTTACTAAATAAATAAAAACACATGCTACATAATCTGAGCCATTGCATTGCTTTCTGGTCTTTTATCGTGGTGCAGTACCAATTGCTTATTTCAGTGTTAGCCTGTAATTACTTTACAATAATTCAAACTCTTTCAAGCATAAAGTGTTTTTCAGGCAAGAAGAATTTTCCTGAAGCCAAGGCTGAATTTTCCCAAATGTTTAGATGTGGGATTCTGACTGCTCTCCCTGCCCTGCTGATTTGGTGACCAAGATGAAAGACATGGCAGGATCCCCTTTCCCACTGCTTAAATGCAACAATGGTCAGTTGATTTTTCCATCCTAATGCACTTCCAAAAGAAATCTGGCTTGTAGCATTTTTCTGTGACTGTGATCACTGAAAGATATGAAGCAGCTGCCACCGTGTGGCAAGCTGAATGAAAAAAGAAAAAATTGCAAGGTAAGAAAGGGGAAAAAGGTGAGAGGAAAGCCAGTAATTACTGTCTATACTACCGAAAAATGTTTCTTAATAATTCTGATGAATTAGATGACTTACAGTAGTATTACAGTGATTATTCTTAAGCATTATTTCCATAGCTAAATAACAGAGGAAAGGGAAAAAAGCTCTACAATCTATGTTGAAACTTTTCATGGTGAAAGTCAGAGACAGGGTCATGTTTCATTCCTTTTATTTTTTTAAATTTTATGGATGCACACACGAAGAAGAATTCATTGACTTTGGTTTACAGGTGGATTATAAAAAAAGTGTTGTCTGGCAAATGGGGTGGGAAGGGCACTCCTTGCATATAGCTCAGCAAGGCCAAAAGTTTGTCTGTGGGAGCTGGGACTGAATGGGAACACTGCTGGAAGCTGCAGGGGTGAGGAACTGCCTCCTACTGCAGTAAAAGCAGGTCAAAGAGAGCTGGGTATACTCAGCCGTCAGCATAGGTGGAGTGAGAGCTGGGCACCAGGAGACCACACGGTTGATTTTTAACGCTAGGCTATGAACAAAATTTAGGTAAGGGTTTTACTGACATTGAAAACCTTTAGCTTGAACTGATTTTGCCTGTTCCCCAAAGATGGCTGGATCTGAGCAAGCTCTGACTTAAAGGTTTCACAGTTCCTGGGATGCCATCTTGTCTATGATACAAAGTCTTAAGGCTAGTGCTTGGACGTGGGCTTAGTCTTCAGACTTGCCCATGTATCACAGAATCTTAGAATAGTTTATGTTGGAAAAGACTTCTTAGATCATTGAGTCTGACTTTTAACCCAGCACTTCCAAGTCCACCAGTAAAATCCTATCAGTCTGGAGTGAATGCAGCTACCTGTAGAAGTCTATGCAGGCAGTAATGTTTAGACTATATGAAGACAAGTGCAAGCTTAATTCAGATGTTTAAAAAAATGTTTATCTGAAGATCAAAATTAAAGGCAAGGGCATTATTTGAGTATAGTCCTTATTTGTGCAAATACAGTGTGTATGGAAGTAGATGAAAGACTAAAACAGACAGAGATAAAAGGTGGCAAAGTTTTAAGTCTAATTATTCTTTTTTTTCTCTCGTTTAGTGAATTTAGTTTACATAAGCAATGAGAGGGAAGAAAGGCAAGCTCTGAGAGAAAGAAATAAAAATAATAATGTTGCCTGGTAACTTCTGATTTAATTAAATCTTAACTAAAATGTGTTTTTCAGTTACTATGATTGCACATATTTTGAAATAGTATTTGAAAAATTTCCCAAGTTTCCAATTGCTCCAAATAAGTTTTACCTCTTTTTTTTCCCCAGGCAGTTAGAAAACATACAGCATTTCTTTCTACCATCAGGCTGGTTGCAGGCAAACAAACTGGTTTTACACGGTCAGTAATCGTTACAGGACTGCAAAACAAATAAAAAATAATTAAAAGATCCTTAGAAAAATTACCAACAGCTTGTTCTATCTTCATAGTCAGAAGGCTCTGCATGGGAACTGTGTGGAGAAGCTGGTGATGCCTTGAAACTGTACAGGTGGCTGTAAGATGGTGGCTAATCATGTAGTGGAAAAAGAGGTTCCTTAGAGCAACCCAAAATTTCTGGAATATGTTCCTGGGCATAGTGTCACAGTGTAAGTGTGTTTGCAGAACAGGGCTAGAGTGTGCATCTCTGGCTGCCCCTCGGTGTGTACAGCATCATGCACAAGCCCAAGTCCAGCCCCAGCTACCCTTGCAGATGCTCAGATCCTAACTTTTCTCAGATCGTGCCTGACTCAGAGGTCATGAACACTGGGAATTCACAGGAGGAGCTGACCTGAGCTAGCCCCAGGGATATTTCATAGCGTAGAATGACATGCTTAGTACATAAACTAGAGAGGGTCGCTAATTGCTACTTAGAGACAGGATGGGCATTGGTCAGCAGGTGATGAGCAAACACAGCTCAAATCACAGAAAAATCCTTTCTCCTCTGATTATATGGGAGATATAACTATGGGTGACATCACACAGTATCCCATACGTTACAAAGTCTAGTATCTCAATAAAGTACATACAACCCCCCCCGCTTCCTCATTACAACATTAGGCCCAGAGTCTTCAGCACTGGAATAAAGCTCCATATAGAGCAGGTACGGCCTGTGGAAGCTGCAGTTCTGCAGGAGATTAAAATGGTGCATAGAGAAGTTTTTCTTTGGGCTGTCTAATCTCTTACTAACTGCCACATGTAGGTGTGAAAAGATGAGATGACTTCTGGAAGGTGTAACACCTTGGGAGTCAAACAAGTGCAAGCAGTTTTGGTACAGTGAAGGTATGTCTGAACAAGCTGTTAAATGACATATACCACTGTAAGGAACCTACCCTTTGAAAGTCAGTTCTGATTGTGAAAGAGAGTAAAAGGACCTGAAGAACTTCAGATGCTTGATCAGGGTAAAATGAACATTTATAATCTCTTTTCAGGCCCAGAATTATTTGAAAGTATAAGATGTGATATGATGTTATTTGACAGGTATTGGGATCTTCAGTGTCACATGAAAGGGAACAAATCCCCCTGTTCCTAATCAGGCCATTCATGGGCCCTGAGCCCTAACGAAATTCAAGGCAATGAGAGACCAAAGGGAACTGAGCGATGACACATCTTGAAAGAAAGATCTCTCCAACAGAAATATATGAATGAAACATGAACACAACAATCCAGGAGGGTAGGAGATGCTAACCAGTGCTGAAGCTACAGTTGTGCTAATGCCATAATCATCATCATTCTGAACTCTATCCTCCAGCCCTCTAAAGTCCAAGATGGTGACATCAAAACTCAACTCTCCCATGCTTCCATGACTGGAAATCAGTTCTGCAGCTTCCAAAACTAGTTCAGTTGCTGCTCAATAAAGTTGATTTTTGTTGAAAGTAGTGAGTGAGAGTGCCCCATGACAGTCCCTTCCGCCCTGATTGGTCCTTGCCTTCCCTAAACTGTGCAAGAGGCACACGTGGGTTCTGCCAGTGGGGTCATTCAGCAGGAAAGATGCTCAGAGTTCACCCTTGAACAGATACATATGCTAACATCATAAGGGACACTCACACTCTCTTATAGCATCCACAACCACCCCAAGACCTAACTCCAGGATAAGCTAACCTGTGACTTCAAAATAAAGGTGTTAGAGGTGAAAAACTTGGACTGAAATGGTACCTGTTCAACTTCAGCAAAGCAATGTCTGCTCCAGTTGGTTCCTTTAATACTTTCTGAACAATCTGGATTTGCAGAGATGGCTCTGTTGCATTGAGATTCTGTGTTCCAAGAAACACCCTATAGGCAGAAGGGTGTGTTGACCTGGAAGAAATGACAAAGGCAAGGTTATACATCCACACACATTATCAGGAATGCCACTCTTACAAAATTCAGTGATTTCCCTAGAAAACTGCAATTAACAAGACAATCAGGATGCTGCTTCTGAGCATAGATGCCCTCATTTATTCTTCAGGAAAAGGAAAATGTAGCTTTTTTAACAGTTTGAATTTTATGATGGTGAAACATCCCATGGGCTGTAAATAGTGTGACACCTTCTTGCAGTGTCCACAACTGCTACAGTCCTAAAGGTGAGCTGCTAGCCACAGTTTTTCCAAGTGCAATTAGCAACAGCACATCATTAGCACCCTTTTTGCCATGTTTTTGGGTGGAGGAGAGGGCAGAGGGCAGAAGTTACCTCTGATGTACTCTGATGCTGACTGCCTAAGACAGAAGCAGAAGATAAAAATGAGCTTGATGACAAGAAAGACAGGAAATCAGGAGTAAAGAAAGTGCCTTATTGAGTACATCTTGCTCTTCTGTTGATTTTCTCACACAGATTTAGGAAATACCTGTCACTCATTCTAGTGGATACTCACCCTTGCAAGCACTGAGCTGCAGTAAGGACCCACTGTGGATGTATTAGAGTGCCAGCACAATGGTGCATGTTGGTACTAGAATAGAGAAGAAAATAGTATTTGTTTAAGACTGCATAGTCAGTTCTCAATCTCATCTATGCTGTGCACAATGGGAAATATTAACAAAATAGCAATATACCCCTTATTCAAACCTTTTACCAGTCATAGTTTGCCTTTTGTGAATGGCAAAAGAAATTTTCAAGGGACTGAAGATTTTCAAAGGACAAGCTTCCTTTGCTCCAGAACATGAGACATGAGAAGAAATTTGATACCCAAGTGAAATTTTTGCAACAGGGTACTCTTGCTTTCAGGAATTTAATAAAAATAATTACATTTCCTAACAATTTCATGTGTTATATAATAGGTTTGTCCTGGGGAGCAATTAATAAAAAGATATATCCTTCTGATTTGTGGAGTTGCTTTGGAGTAGTTCTTTAAAAAAAACCCCTACTATGGAGTTTTAACTCCTCTTGGGATAATATTTTTTCTTGTCACTATCAACAATTCCATAGAAATTTTCATTAGTTTTTCTGTAAACCCTTCTTCATCTCCTATTCAGCATCTCTTATTGTGTGGAAATGCTGTGCATAATTGTATTTTTATATATCATCTTCCTATACCTTCTAACACCACTAGAGTGGTCACAGCATCTATTTACATTTGAACCAGTTTGGATGCTGGGTGAAAAGGATTGATCAAAATCCATTCATGCATGTTGCAGGCTGTTCTGGGCTTAAATCCCCACTGCAGATTGCCATTAACTGTCACAATCCTCAGTGGGAATTTTTCCTTCCTCATTTCAGTAAATAAAGGTGTACTTTATCTCTGCAGTTCAAGTTTGCCCTCTAGAGATTCAGGAAGGAGAAAGTGGGGAGTTTGGGATTAATGAGCCAATAAGTGGACATTGTGATTAAAAAGGGGAAAAAAATTATTGTTTACTGTCAGTCTCTTTCTAATATCTGTTTCCTGTGAAACCCTGGTGTTCATGAACGGTGATACAGTCTGGAATACACGTACCTTGTCCTGAGGCTGATGTGCCAGGGCCAAGACCCTGGAGATGCATTGCACATGCTGTATTTCTCACAGGCTCGCTCATTCCTCATTGGGACTTTTCCACAGTCATATTCAGAAAAAGCTACAGAATAAAAAAGGCTACAATGGAGAATTTTAAAGCAGTTCTGCGATGTAATCTCATGAAAAACGAAAGGTATAAGACTTTTTTTTTAACCTTCCCTTGGCTCTGACTCTGCATATTGGTTGATAGGAGTCCTGCCCCTTCCAATTTTTGCTACTGTGCCACAATAATCTTTACCATTACCATTAATGCAGTCTGTGAAAAAAAGAGGAAAAGGAAATTATTGTTAGGTGCTGAATGTCTATGTATTGGTGGTTAGTATAAGCCAATCAGATTAAGTACCTTTAGGACTTGCACGCTGTCTAGTGTCTACAGCAGAAAGTAAGATAAAAATGTACCCTGTGATGTGATCTCTTGTTTTGTCAAGATGGATGTCTTCCTGGACATACAGAGTAACTGAATTAGAAAAAAAATCAAGGACCTCAAGGTACTTCCATGAAAGAAGCATATTTCAGCAGCCCACTAGACTGAAAGAGCAACTTTTGCTTCCAAGGACATTGCTTCAGGTACTTCCTTCTGCATGTAAGAGAGACACAGCTCCATTTACAAATGTACCTTTATGCAACACTGCCATCTTCCCTTGCAAAATAAATAATTGGTGAAAAGCTCTACTATACTTCCAGAAATGCCATACCACTGTGACCAATATGGCCTGCTAATCTGAGATGGAACAAAGCAGGACAGAGCAAAAAGTCATTTTTCTCAGTGCATGCATTTTGCAAAAAATGACTGCTTGTGAGCAATGCAAGCAGCTAAGATCACCCTCTGGAAAACAAAGCACAGGACAAGCAGAATTCCTATAGTAACAACTTTCACTGTGACCATATTTCAGTAGCACAGACCTACAGAAATACTAGAGTGTTGTCTATTTTCCTCTTATTCCCCTGGATGAAAAAGATGTCCTTCAGAATGCACTAAAATGATATAGGCTACAGGACATGAACTGACTAAAGAGCACTTGCTGCAAAATGCAGTAGTACAGATCTGAAAGCTGCAGGAGGGATGTAACTATTACATTGCAGCCCCAGTCAATGTCCTGGTTTCAGCTTGAGTAGAGTTAATTTTCTTCTTAGTAGCTGGTACAGTGCTGTGTTTTAGATTTAGTATGAAAATAATGTTGATAACACACTTTTGGTTGTTGCTAAGTAGTGCTTACCCAAAGTCAAAGACTTTTCAGTTTCCCATTTTCTGCCCGTGAGAAGCTGTACAAGAAGCTAGGAGGGAGCATGGACAGGACAGCTGACCCAAACTGGCCGCAGGATCTTCCATACCATAGAACAACATGTTTAGTACAAAAACTAGTGGGAGCCACTAATTGCTGCTCAGGGATAGGATGGGCATTGGTCAGCAACTGTATGGTGCATCGCTTGGGTTTCTTGGGGTTTATTCCTCTCCAATATTTATTGTTATTTCTATTGTTATTTTGTTTGCATTATTAAACTGTTCTTATCTCAACCCTTGAGTTTTCCTTTTTTTTATTTTCCTCCCCACCAAGGAAGGGATAGGGGAACGAGTGAGCAGCTGCATGGTACTCAGTTTCTAGCTGTGGTTAAACCACAACACTGAAGAATTATTTTGATAGATTATTACTTCTTTTACCCACAGACTCTACAGGAGGTGACACTTATAGCCAGCTGTTACCAAATGTGGTGGGTGTCGTCAGGCTAATATCTTGTGCCATCACTGCGGGGGAATCATTTGGTATCTGCTCCTGTGTATGATCATCACACCTCTTGAGATTGCAGTACTCCCATAAAGTGTTGGGGTCAGTGGTGAAACACCATGGGCTGTTGTCACCATCTGGATTTCTACAATAGTTGTCTCTCAAATCCCTGCAAAAATAAAATCAGTAGTCATGCTGCATAAGACTGGAATTAAGCATAGGAACATCTTGACAAAAAGTTGTGTATCTGTATTACCAGGATAAATACATTTATTATTATTTTCACTTATTGCAGATATCTTATTAATAGCAAACACATTTATGGCTACGGTGCTGGTGAAGTGTTACATTTCACATGTACATCAGAGTCATGAATACATTTATGTGTAAGGAAACATAATTCAACTACTGGCTGATATTCTGGATGTACCATTTCAATGTGTTGAGTACCTAAATAAATGCACAATATGCCAATAATTTAATTTCTAAATATATATGTATAAGCACACACAAGTCTGTGCTTTGTAGGGCAGGGAGAAGTAGCATTTCTCTCTTCAATAATTTGCAGAGCTTCAGTATTTCCCCATCCTGAGTCACAACACAGTTACAGAATAAAAAAGAACTTAAACGGTTTTTTTCCAAATATGACAAAACACATGAATTTCACATTTTCACAGTTTGATTTTAATTTTTTAAAATTTTTTTGAAAGACAGCATCTCCTTTGAGGATGTTCCAGTTTTGATACATCAGTATTTTAATGCCTAAATATAACTGAAAAATTAAAATTATTTTGCGAGATAGCATAAAAAAGGTATAAAAATGGATGGATTTTCTCGCAATTGAAATCTTACTTCTTTCCTACCCTTACTAAAAGCTGGCACATTAGTGATCGTAGTTAGCTAATCATTGATCCAGTCACTGATAGTCCAGTTTTGTCAGCCTGAAGAGGACAAATTAAGGGGGAAAATTCAGTTTGCAATTCTGGGTGCACAATTCAACTACAAGGAACACTTTGATGGTATTTCAAAGCATAATACATCTGACAGTGTGTTCTGCATCATAAATGCTGTGTTCTACCAAGAATAAATACTTAGAAAGGCCACCACAAAAGTCTCAAATTCATAAGCAAAACACATATTTCAGCAGATGCCCAGACTCTGGATACATGTCTCATGCTGTTGGTTACAGAAGCTAAGATTTAAGAATAAAGGGACACAGCTATATTTTGCTCAGAATTTACATAACTAGAAAAAACAGGTTTTTTTAAAATGAGACTAACAGAAAATGTTTCTGTCTTAGAAAAAAATCTCTTTTACAGAAAAATTCCCTAGCAATGCTTTAGAGCATAGTTGTGCAAAGATAATGCAAACCAAGCAGTAGTCATTGTCAGAGAAAGAGAGAAAAGGTGAGATAAACATACGCATCTGGGAATTTGTCCGGGGTTTTTTCATGCCAGTGTGGGAACATGGAGTTCCAGGCCTGGCATTTTTTTCCTGATGCAGTGATAGAAGTTGTGCCACGATAACTCTGGCCTTTGCCTCGGTAGCACTCCTCTGTCAGGGGAACCTGTATGGGCACATCTGCAGCAAACAACAGAAACTGGTCTTTTGCAACATAGTTTTATGTTCTTACCGAGTAAGCACAAGAAAGCATCAAAGGATGACAAAAAGGAATGACCCATTTACAAACACAGCATCCAGTGAGATCGTCACAGCCAGCAGCAGAAGGGCATTTCCAAAGATGTTTAGAAAACTTTAACAGTTTAACACCGTATGTTAGATGTCGTTCAGTGAAGGCTTCACCGTCTGGTTTCATTTTGCTATATGTGAACATGTTAGAATTAAAGATAAGAAAGTTCACATAAAAAATCCTCAAAGAAGAGATGCTGGTGATTGCGAGCATGATAAATTTCTCAAACAGACATTATATTAAATTTCAATCTATTATCCTTTTGATTGTGCTAAGACTTTCTTGTTATTTTTAGTCCTTAAATGAATAAATGTTTCAATGTGATTTTTACTTGGAAATAAGACTTTGGAAGCTCCTGTCCTCTCTTTTGTGGTTACTTTTCAAAAATGGGAGTTCCTTTTACTTAGCAGTTTTTCATGTCTTTGAACCTGATTTTAATTTTTCAGTGAACTTGCTATAACTGCCCTACCTTTGGGGAGAAAAAGAATACAAAAAAATAAACCTCTTTTATCCAGTAATTCTTCTGTTGGGTCAGCTGGTTCTCTACATCCTTCATTGTATTTTCTTAACCACTGAAAATTCAATATTTGTCAGGTTTTGCAATATGACAGGCAGACAAGCATTAACAACAGCGACAAAGGGACTGAAAAAATATTTAATACATTTACAGTAAGAAACAATAAACCTCTCACTGTTTTAAAGTCCTTATTTCAAGTACACTCCACTATTCATACCAGCAATCTCTTGTTCTCTCCCATCACAGGGAGGAATTGTGCAATATTCCCATCTAACGCTGCGGTTGATGGTGTAGCACCAAGGCCTCTTCTCTCCATCAGGGTTTCTACAGTAGTTTTCCTCTAAGCCCCTGAAACAAAAACACTGGTTTAAACTACTCATAGAAATCCAGAAGAGTTTTGTGCCTGACTATTAACAACCACTGCATGCAGAAGTCAACTCAGAGGTTATTTATTCTTTTTGGAGATTAATTACCTCACACATCACTGTTTTGGGACTAATCAATGGTCTTTGAATTCACAGTCTAAATGCTGATGGTATATGAAAAACTTTTTCAATGCTTTCACATTCTACTCTTGTTGTTGAGGCCAAGATATAGCAGTAAAAGCTGACTTCAAAACACAAGCCATTGGTGTACCTGATGTTGCAGTAAGAATCAGGCAAGGCTGGATGTGACAGACTGATCCTGGAAATGTGTAGGATCACCAATGCATGCTGCTCTCTGTCCTGTGATAGTGGACAGGGTTTCATATGTCCAAGAAAACTTGTAGGATCAAAATACAGAGTAAGCATCCAGGTCAGTCCCAGCTACCCTTGCACATTGATAATTCTCTGAAAATCCAGCTCCTCTGACCTTGGAGCACAAGGATGTATTGGAGTATGTTGACCTTGGAGCATCACTCTTCAGAAGAGTAATGCCTTGAAAATGTGCCAAAACACAGCCAAGGGATTTTCAGTAGTAACTACTTCTAACTTTGCAGTGGGATGTTGATAAAAAATGTGAGATAAATGTATGAGAATAAAGAAGGATGCAGAAAAAAATGAAGAGCAAGACCTGAACAGAAGTAATGTGCACTGACAAACAGCAAGAAAATAGCTTATCAGCATAAATGAGGAACAGCTGGGCTCCTCTTGCCTCTGCATCTGAGTCAATAAGGAATAACTATGTTCTTTGGTATTTGTTACAATGATGAGGTTCAGCATACTTGCAGGGATATCTGTCAGGAATCCACCCATGTTTGTGAGGAAACTGTGTGTTCCAGTGTTGACAAGTATTTCCTGATTCAGTGACAGCTATCCTCCCTCGATAGTCTTCTCCTTTCCCTGAAAGACACTGGGAGCCTGGGTCAGAGACTGGTGGGCGTGTAGCTGTAACAGAAAAAGAAAACACAAATGAAGGGAAGGCAAGGCAAGGCAAGGGAAATAAAATGAAAAGCTGGTAAATAGTCTTTAAAAAATATATAAAACCCCTTTGTTTTCTGTAATGTCAAATATGCAATTTTTTTTCTTTCAGTAGAGGTGATCTTGGTTAAAAGTCATGTCAAAACCAAAGAGTACATTTTTACGAGCAGTTGGACAGCCAGACAGATGTCCCGTGTTTGCCCTTTTACAGCAGTCAATAAATAACTTTGTTGGGTCATACAGACTTTGTGCCTGCAGTCCCCTGAGAGCAGAACAGGAAAGGCAGTAAGTAGTCCTGTACAGTCTTGTAAAACCAAGTGAAATGAATATAATATACACAGGTAGGGTGGAAGGGCAGAAAGGGCCAAGAAGAAATTTTGAGAGAAAGCAAAGCAGCCTTCAGAGCTGAGCCTCTGCAGTCAGTGACTTGTGAAAGTGTGGTAGAAGGAAAAGTGAAAGAAAATGAGGTGATCTGGCATGTGGGGAACAGCAAAGAAAGGAAGAGTGATGATCAGAGGCATAGAACCTGCAGAGGGCAAACAGAAAATGAATTTACAGGACATATCTATTACATATACTTTGTATACAGAACTTCCCGAGGAGATGAGTATGACTAAAAGGTTGGCATGTTCCTTAAACTTCAAATTTTAGGCACAGAATGTAAATGCTATGGTAACTTTCACAATTTATCATAGAGATGTCTAGAAATAGTTATTCTGCCATCTGTAACAGACCATGCTGAAGAGAACTACATCCAGCAAACATGTGCCACTGCTTAGAGCACTAGCAAGTACAGATGCATAAGAAAGCAAGCTCTAGAGATAAAAACACGCTTCTTTTTTCTTTTTCTTTTTTTTTTTTTTTTTCCTAAAAGTGCCATCCAGTTCTACAAATAGCAATGCTACTCTCCTTATTCAGTGCTTTGGAAATATCCAGATGTAGTGTGCTCAGCTCAATGGATTACGTGCACTCACTGATAGGTTTCTCCTTGAGGCCTGAACTTGTTTCTCAGGATTCACCCCTTGTTAAGGAAAAAGCAGTGCTATCTGTGCTGGAAAGACTCAGCTAAAATATCACAGTACGGCCACATGGTGATTTAGATGTTTTTCATTAGTTAACTGATCAGCAGAAAACTATCACCTGATTAAACCTGAATGCCCAGTCTCTAAGGTAAATTTAAATTCTCAAGTAAGTTGAAAAGTAAAGTGGTTAAAGGCAAATTCTGTTTTCCCAAAACTTCTTTGGCACTATTGCACTTCATGACACCTACGTCCTCACTGACCATACATAATTTTACATAACTGAAATTTAGTGAGCGATTCTGTGTATTACTGTGCACTTTTCTTCCTTCACAAAGGTATCCTCAGGTTACTTAGAACTGAGATTTCTTGTCTTTCCCCTCCCTGCATAATTTTAATGAGAACAGCTACCCTCTGGAGTGGTCTCAGGAAATCAGACTCACTGCAATGAGGAATTTTGCAATATTCCCAGCGTTTAGTCGGGCTAGTAGTGAAACACCAGGGCCGAAGTTCACCATCAGGATTACGGCAATAATTCATCTTCAGATCCTTTTCTGGGTAGCTGCACATTGAAAATGAAAGAGAAGCTTGTGAATCAGCTATGGCCAGCTGAAGCAACTAGGTTCTGTCTCCCAGACTCTGTAAGAATGAATTCAGTGCTGAGTATGACTCACTGTTTCAGGGTAAATCCATGCATATGAGGCTCTTGGGCATCCCAGTGTTGGCACTGAAGCCCAGACTCTGTTCTTGACACTTCTCCATGGTAGTCCTCACCATTACACTGCATGCATTCCACTGTAGTTCCTAGGTAGAATGAAAAAAAAGCAAGGAATGTACCAGCCCATGAATTCAGATCCTGATCTATTCCTGGAAGAATATGCTGAAAGGAAAAGAGTGGTTTGCTCAAGCTAGTGATGAAAAGAATTCAGAAGCCTAGCCAAATTCATAATGCTTTAGGAATATGTGTCATTTGGAGGGAGAAATTTGTCACATATCTGTGTGTACTGATAGCAATAGGAGTTCAGTATATAACATAACACTCGGATCAATCTTTGCTCTCTTTAAAATAAAATAAATTTCTGGGAGCAGGACAATATCAGCAAATGATTAAAAAATTTCAGTTCTTCCATATTTATGAAATTATGTTGACAACTCAAGATAATTAGGAAAAACATCTGTGTTGAGAAATTCTTAAGTTCAGTTTGATTTCAGTTCTCATTTGAAAACAATCTGCAATAATTAGGTGCAAACAAGTAGCAGGAATAATATTACCTACTGAAACTAAGCACTTAAATTCGTTCTCTGAAAAGTAAATATACCTTCTCCAGTGTGTGTGATCTGGTCCTCACAGTCTGGGATGTTACAGTAATCATATCTGGTAGCAGGATCTGTTGTGTAACACCAGGGTCCATTTTCGTCCCCATCAGGATTTCTGCAATAGTTTTCCTCCAGCCCCGCATTAGGGTGTTTTTGAGGTGTATAGCTGTAATAGTATTAAAACCCTATTTTAAAACCAGTAATTTAGGGGAGCAGAAGGGAAATGTCCGATTTGCTGAGGTAGCTGTGAGCTTTATTCATTCACAGTAAAAAAAGAGCAAAACATGTTCCCCACTGTAAGTCATAAATGAATACTGAAAAAACATTCCATAACTATCATTATTATTAGCTTTCTCACTAAGTCCCAATTGCCAATAAGGAGTGATCTTACAGCCTGCAAGGACTATAACAGTCTCAAAGGACAATTGTTGCCTTTTATACTTACATCCACCTGATCTAATCTGCTCACTATGACCTGTGGCTCTGTCACACATTTGTCTTAATGGAGCTACTTCAGAAGTTGTGTATTTTTAGAGACTATTCACCAAGCACTAGATAATGAAGAGATCTGAAGCAGGTGACACTAGGCTTCTTCCTACAGTAACCTTCCCACAGAAGACTAAATGGCTTTTAAACAATCTGAACGAGTGTAACCAAGTTTCATTAGGATAACAACAAAAAATAATTTTAAAATAAAACTCCAACATAGATGAGAGGAAACGAGACCACTGCTTCCGTTCTTGCTTCAGTGAATCCAGTGGTAGCCAACCCTGAGAAAACTCTATCTGGCCAGGCACATTTGGCCCTTGGATACTTTTCTTAATGTTTTTTCTTGACTGTCTGTAGGGAAGGCAGGGGATCATAAAGCTGGACAGGTATCAGTGCTTTTTTTCCCTGCACTTCATATAGAACAGTGTAATTATGATCCCACTGTCACCAATAGCAAAATTTTCTTCATGGATGATAGGAGCATTTAATCTGTTAAGATATCTCACATTTAGACACAATTTCTGTAGCTGACAATGTATCCTATCCTTATCCAGATCATTGCAGTTCTCTGCCAGTAGAGTCAAAAGCAGCAAGACAGATGAAGAGGAATATAACGCTGTCTTGAAAAGTCACCTGATAACTGGCTTTGATAACTTGTACTATAAGGCTGTCTATACACATGAAGTTGGGGAAACTTGGAAGAGGGTGAGAACAACATAAAGAAAAATATAAATAAGTTCATACTTTGGTTTGTGGGGTATTTTTTCTGCCCACTTCTGGCATGGAATACCCCTCCAAGTCTTGGCTTCTGTTCCTCTGTAGTCCTTCCCAATCCCTCTTTTACATTCTAGAAGATAAACTGAAATAAAATTGGTTTTGTTAATTGAATGGTGTTACAACATTGCAGGTCTTGAAATTGGAAGTCTGCAGATATAACTGAAGTTCATCAGTTCATGATGAGCCATGCTTTACAGATGTTTTGAACCTCTTGTACATGCGAACATATGTGACTCTAAAATGTAATTTAAAACAAATTAGTTACAAACTAAAGAGAAAAATTTCTGAAGCATTTTTACAAAGCTAATAAAATCTAGCCAAGAAAATATCTGTATCAAATTACAGTTGTTTTTGACATGAAAAAATGCATGGTTTTACTATCATAATACTGGGATAAATAGGAATTACTTTCACCAGTTAGAGATTCTTTGAAAGGTATTGTTCACAAGCACATTTGCAGTGTGCAACTATCTCTTCATGCAGCTATCATGCAACTATCCCTTCAAGACAGAAAGTATTTAGTTATCAAAATACACTTGTCACATAAATGACCCCAAACCTTTGACTCCTCTTAGCCTCAGACTCCCAGGTCCTTTCTAGTGGGATTCCAAGACAGAGACAATGCGAATCATGTTCATGATGCTTTAACGGCAACAGACACTTGCAAAATCTCAAGTTATTAAGGGCAGTGATCTTGCTTTCCCCTTTCAGCAATTTGCTTGCACAAGAAGAATTCTCCTAAACCCCAAAATATAAAATGGCAATGTTAGAGCAAGAATAAGGTACCAATCTGAGAGGAAAAACGGAGCCTTGTTTGAACACCTCGCAGTCTGTGCTGTGTGTCTTGCCAAAAGGGAGTTTCTGCCTGGTTTCTCAGGGTACTACTGAAGGGACCAAAAGTCTAGTCATTGCTACTTCAACACTGATACCCAAGTCCCAGCATGTCCATCTCTGGTCAATAGCCTTGCCCATGGACTTTCTGATGTTGCCAGATTCCTCCTAGATTATTTTGCTTGTCTAAATAATAAAGAATCAGAAAGAAGGAAGACAACCAAGTAGCTTTCCAGTTCAAATGGCACATTGAGACCACCATGGATTTAGGCCTCAGTATTTGATCCATCTTTAACAGCATTTTTAGTAACATGGCTTCTTTCTGTTTGGCCTCCAAATTCTCTATTAGTTTTCTGTCCTGTACAGGAGTTTGCATTGCTCGCCTATAACTCCTGATTGTGTTCCTCTAAAGATGGATGGGATCAAAAGCCAAACTATATCTCAAGACAAAATTAAGGCTTGATTGGGGAAAATACTCTACAAAGAAGGAGATGTCTCTGAGTTCTTCAGAAATGTTTCAGTGACTAAGTGCCAAAGCTTTGATTATTACCCCTGTAAGGAGGTTAAGCATCCTAGATGACCACTCAACTAGTAAAAATGCTGGGGTTCTTCAACTCTCAGAGACCAACTGGAACCAAAGGAAAATGCACTTTTGAAGGTGGGAGTGAGAAATCTGACTCAACATAATGTAATGAATGAGTCTACCTTATGAATTATTCCAGTTATTAGCAAGGAGGTTTTGCCATTAACATATGGAAAGTCAAACTCTAACTGCCAGAATATATTCATGGAGTTGCCTTTGCAACTATGAACAATCCAGACTGTGGTCTGCATACAGATCCCAAAGGTTTTTGGTGGGGTAAAATGGAAGTGTCTAACCTTGGGTGGCCTAGTACAAAAAGACAAACTATTACACTCACAAATGGATGAAACTTTTTGTTTTAAAGTAGATGTTTTGCACAAGTATTAAATCAATTACAAGGAAACTAAATTCTAACAAAGATTGATGCCAAAGCAGCTGTTATGAATTCCAAGTTCTGAGTAAGGTATAGGTGAGATTATACAGTCATCATGAACCTAAGGGAGTGGCAGAGCCACAGATTTGTCCTGGAGATTGCTTTTTCCCAGCAGACAAAATTCCATCATATCTGAGAGAGTGAGGAGTTTTACAGTAGCTGTTTCCTGGTGCTGAGGAGTCGTGGTGGGGACAGAAAACTTTTCTGATGTTCAAGGAAACTAAATCTCTTTATTTACAAATTCAAGTTCAGGTTGGGTGACGCTGTGGTTGGTTGTTTCTAGGAAGGTGAGTATCACTTCTAACAACCTTCTGAGAAGGTTTGAGGTGGATTGTGGCCATTACAGATACAAAATGCTGCCATTTGGATTATCCAGAGACCTCACAACGATGCTGGCAGCGGTACCTGTGAGTTTCAGAAGGAATGACATAGTTTTGTATTCCTGATAGCAAAAAAGAGAAGGAAGATGACTGTACACTTTTGTACCCCTGCCATAACAGGCACCAACAGGCTGATGAGCTGGTCTTTTGGTGTGAGGAACAAGATACAGTGTCTTCTCCTGCAGTGGACTCATATGGTGACACTTATTTTAGTCCTGGATATGCCCAGAAAGGAAAAGCTCTACTTCTGAGAGGACTGAGAGAGTGGGGGACAGACCTGTACCTCACCCTACAGTTTCAGCTAAGGCTAAAAAGTAAACAAGACAAATCCTTCCTGACGCATGAGTGAGTGCCAAGCTAGAAGTTTTTTTTCTGTAGGAAGAGGTGGCTCTAATGGGGCTATGAGCAGCAAAGCTGAAGGTTCTGGCTAAATTTCTAGATTACATGTGTTGAAGAAGGTCACTGGGATGAACGCTGAGGCTGGAGACACCAGGTCTGTCTTCCATGGGATAGCTTTGGAGGAGATGAAAATTCACATGACCCACCTCACTGAAACTGTCACCACCTGCAGCAGTTTGCTCCATCACTGCAGTAGAGAGCACAAGGATGAAGTTAAAATAGGCTTAAGGAGTAGCATCTTACTGTATACATACTTCTCTTTTCATAAAGAACTGCATCCATGCTGGCGAACATCACTGACATTTTAGCATTTTCAGCCAGTGTTAAACACTGCAGCTTTTTCCTGGTGAATAGGAAAGCCCTGTTGAAATTGAGAAGGAAGCAATATTGACATAGGAAGCAATATTTTAAATTCAATACAAATTATCCAATTAATAATTACTGTTCCATAAATTTTTAATTTAATAGCACTGTCCTGTATCCATTTATATCTTTCAGATACTGCACTCAATATTTGAGACACTGAGTAAGAGTCTGATGTGTTCTATTGTTCTGAAGTGGCTCATCTATGCAGGACATAAGACTATATGTGAATAAGTTATTGTGTGGGAAGCTAGTTACTGCACTGGCCAAACGTTATCAACTGCATCCTAGCTGCTCAGGTTAGTATCTCTCCCTACAATGGATTAGAAACATTTCATTCTTCTTTTGTGAAACAAGCCAGCATCCAGCAAAAGAGGCACAAGTAGGTCTCCACGTAACGGAGAAGAGTGAGAATTTGAACATTTACTATAGAATGAGAAATATGTTGTAAATCCTCTCTTGATCTTATGGTAATTTATGGGTGGAGATAAGTCAAAACATAAAGGTACAGGCATGGGAGACAGTGTTGTAGGCAGAGCTGTAGCAGAATGGGAATGTTGGTTCTAGGCAACTGTAGGAAAATACCATTGATATGCAGACATTCACAATAACACAGTTTTAAGATTCAACAGGAATTACCTGCAATTAAAACTTCTTTCTGCTTCACATTTCTCTGCACATTCTTTTTCGCTATTTGTCTTGTAAGACTGTTTATTTCGAGTTAGTATCCAAACACCATCTGTTCTTAGATAGTCATCCAGTATATCTCCTTTCACTACAAGGGAAGGAAAGGATTCAGACATTAAAAATGAAAATTCTGCAGTTAAGAAGATCTGTGAATTTGAATCCCATTTTCCATGTAGCTTGGACAGGTGAAAACACTATGCTGTGTAATTCTAGGTAGAAGATTAAAACTCTGGTGTAATTTCTGTCTCCCGACACAATCACAGCTGTATGACTGTAACATGCCATAGGAAAAAAAAACAACAGAAAAAACATGTAGAGAAGCAGTTCTAAACTGAGTTATGCACGAGTTTGAAGCTAAGAACGAGAAATGTGAAGTAAGATTGAGGGGGAACAGAGACAGAGAGACTAAGTGGTCCACACCACTCAGAGAAAGAGGAAGGGATACCAATATCAAAGTTTTGAAAAAGTATGAATTAGATGGATGTGAGATTATGACATGTCATGTGAATTGTGCAATCACTGCAGTTTTATTGGTCACTGACTAGTTGTTTGTCCCAAGATGTTTTACCCTAGAGCAAGAAACCACAGTCATAAAATTACTAAATAGCATTTTACAATGGCCACCATTATTTTATTTTAATGGTTTGAGCAGACTTACTAATGAAATTGTCAGGCTGCATCTCTGTTGCAACAAATTAACCCAAGATTTTAAATTAGTAAATGATTAGTATTATTATACCTGAAAGCTACATGTGCATAAGATGTATATGAGGTATCTGCTAATACATTTAACACAACTCTATAACACTGTTGCTCACAATGGATTTTGCCATCTAACGGATTTTTCCCTTCTATGTCTATAAATATTTTATGTTCTGTTCCTAATTTCTATCAGGGTTTATTTGCATTTCCAGTATCAGGTTACAAGGTTACGTAAGTGATATGATTCAATTATTTCGTTTTTTTCAAGCTAGATTATTATTGACAGATACAAGAAGTTCATAATTTTGTACAGTATTCTCACAGGTAAAGTTGTGAATCTTTCATTTTTGCACTCATATTAGGCTCAGTTCACTGCAGCATCACTCCAGTGTAATTAATTCCCACAGCATAGAGGTCATCCATCACCTACCTCCATAAGACACATATTCATATGAGATAAAAGGTATTTGGGCCACTAATGAAAGTAAGATGATTATTGCCTGAGGGTATCATCTGTTCCTGTTTGCAGAGTTGGCTCAATGCTATAAAAACCACGTGTCTTAAGAAATCCCTCACACTGAGGCCTCCCAGATCTAATCCTACTGTTACAGTTGGACTATGTGGAGCACCAATAGTCTAGCCTACTAATTTCTCTTGATGGGTTTAGTAAACAAGTGCTTCTCTCCTGAATTTTTCTCCTTGACTAAGGCCAGTGCTCCAGAATTGCAGGGGACTAGAATAGGAAAATACTGCTTTCCAAACTTAATTAATCTTAAAACTCCATTTGTCCAAAGAGCTCTACTTTGAATATTATTCCTTTTCAGTGACTAAAAAAAAAATTATTACAACTGGTTTAAGAATGAACACATAAGGTTTTGGATGAGATGCATAACCTAAAAGGCAATTCAGATTGGCAGAAGTTTAGATAACAGAAAAGAAAAGGTGAAAAGGTAATGCTAGTTACCTGAAAAACAATGCAAAATGAAAAATTAAGAAAAGAATACAGTAGACTTAAAAATGCATCAGGGAATGTATTAATCTGCTAAAGTCCAAACCTTTATAAACCCAGACATGCCACATGATAATTGAACAGAATATTCAAATACATGTGAACAAACCTATTTCTTCTTTTATCTGTGTATCTTTCCAGACCTGAGCAGTACTGATCCAGAAGACATAAAAATTAGTTTTAAGGCAGTCATGTACTATCACTTTGGAGCAAGTCAGCTAAAGCTGATAAATAAAAAACCTACTTAATCAGTTGTCTTTTACAAGCTAGCACAATCACACAATGATACATTCCTGTTATTCTGACCTTAAATGTCTGAGCTATTAGAAACTCACACAAACTATACTGACATGTACTTTACAGTACTTTCTGAAAATCATTTAAATGCTATACCATTATATGCAATTTTAAAGTACTAGAGCATGTTATCTGATTAAAATCTGATTAAAATGTAAAGTGCATGTGAAATAATAATTTACAACATTTGTAGATAAGCTTGAAATTCATATATTACCATTAGTGGGACACATATCTTCTCTTGGAGTTGTAAAAAAGAATTCTAGACATATTTTTAGAAAAGGTGACCTAGGTTACTAAAGAGTAAGTTCCTAACTACTGCCTTCAGCAAAACAAGGGAGAACATTTTATTAAAAGTGTTTGAAAAATTTGAAGTTTCTGGAATATAAAGGAACTTGGTAATTTTTTTTTTTTTTTTTTTTTTTTTTTTTTTTTTTAAATATTTCATTTCAAAGCTTTAGAACACCTCTCATAAAGGGTGAAAACCACAATCACTGTGCTTTAGCATTTGATCTAAAGCCTGCTGAAATTAGGGATAACCTTCTCAGTGACTGCTATGTGTTGTGTAGAAGCCTTTGGCAGGCTGCTTCCCAAGGTGCCCCCATCTCTGGCCATGGGGCAGTTTTGCAAGGAGCCACTAGTTCCCAATGGAGACACCAAGGCTGCTGCTCTCCTGCTGTCTCTAACAAATACAACCCTGGAACAACCACAGCTCTCATTTTATTGAGCAGCAGCTTTTGCTGGCCGGCAAACCCTGAGTCTCTCATCGTCCAGGGAAGTTGTGACACAGGGATTTGGGGACCTACCTTCCCCACATGGAACTCACAAGCGCTTAGGTCCCAGTCTCACCTAAGCAAGGAGAAGGCGAAGGACTCTTACCTGAGCTGAGCAAGAACAGAAAGAGAAAGGCAGCTTTGCTAATTCCCATTTTGGCCCCGCTGGCGGGTGCTGGAAGTTGTGTGTGTCAGTGCACAAAGTTTTATTGACTTGCACTGGAGTGAGGCAGCATCAAACAAACAAGGCAGGAGGATTAAGTTAATCATTCTCCCATGTTGTTCCCCCCTTGCTGTGGTGTGGCCATTCAAACAACCTTGAATTGGATGGATTACCAAATCAGATTCAGTCATTTCTACTGGGTGCTGGGAAATGTGAAGGCACTTTCCTGTTTTGTGGGACATGGTTTTGTTCTCAAATTGCTTGGCCTCACTTTGCTAAGGTAAACATGGAGATCATGGTGGTGGAAAGTATGGGACTCAGCCACAGTCTAATTCTACATAGTCCTGGATATTCAGCATTAGGTCCCAATAGTATTTTCAGTCACAGACCTGCACTGCTTAGGTTGGAACTGCATCTGATTTATGCTTTTGTGTAAGCCATTCCCCCCAAAAAAAATGACCCTGATAATGCTAACTCTGTATCAGAATTGTTTTTAACAACTTCCAAGGCCTTTCTGGATGAAAGATTACTTCCCTCAGCCTCTTCCCATTTCTGGTTTAGTTTTTGTTGTTCATGACTTAGGAGGCAGCATTGACTTTTTTCAGTTTATGATGTGCTTTTGCTTTCCAGGCAAAGCCACTGATATCTTGAGTCTGCCCAGACCTCAGGGTATATGGAAGATGCCCCATGCATTTCAGCAGCACCACCTCTGCTGGCCCCAGGGGGCTCAGCTAAGGCAACCCTTGCATTCCCAGCCATAGTGCCTTCAGGTTTCAGAAAATCAGTGCTTGGACAGAGAAAAGAACCCAAAATTTGCTTTCCATAAGAACACTTAATGGTGGGAGCAAACATCACTCATTTCTGCTTGGCCAGTCAGCAGGTGTGTACCCTGAAACCAGCGTGTCAGAATATGCATGGGTGAATCCTGGAAACATCCACGTTGTACACCTGGCTATGGAAGAGACAGGCTCTGCTAATGGAAAGCAGGAGTACCTCACAGAGGTACTAAGGGGATGTGAATGAGAAGAAGAAGGACTAGAGGACCATTTGGGAGTGAGCAGGGCATGCAGGACCTGATGATTTCCCAACTTAATATAGGAGAGATGTGAGGTCACCAAGAGATGTAAGGAGGACATGATGAGCTGCACTGAGCCAAGTCTTTCTGTTTCTGTCACCAAGAGCATTACTTACTCTGTCCTCAGGTAGCAAACACCATTGACTACAGATGCAGAAGTCTGAAACTACTCTAGATCTGACAGTAAATAGCATGGAAAGTATTTTCTTTTGGATTTAATTTAAATCTTAGAACAATCAAAATCAGAGATATTATATGCCAATTTTCTGTCAGCAATAAATGAAATCACAACTTTACTCATGAAAACTATGCCTTCCTGATGTGAGAATGTGCTGTCCTGGTAATGTCCAGAAGGGTGCAGCAGATGATAGTTTTTTTAAAAAGTGGGTGACACCACCACAAGCAAAGGTGTCAGTACATGCTCACGATACATTGTCAGGCGATGTTTGTCCACAAGCTTGCTTATATCACAGTACTAGCTTACAAGGAAATTTCTTTTATTCAAATATGCTTTTATTTTCTTTCTGTTTCCCCTTTTCCTTCCTACCTCAATACAACAGTTTTAAAGTTTACTGACTTGAACTCATGTAATGTTAATAGGTTTGAAAGTTTTATTTTCCCAAAGCAATACTCTGTGTAGAAAAGACTGCATGCAAGTGTGAAATACAGAGCAAAAATGGAATGAGAAAGAGTGAGGGGGAAAAAGCCAAATGTAGTATTATCACTGTAAGATACTGGGAAACATAAACAAAAATAGAGGCACCTCTTTGGAGCAAAACACTCTACAGATTTTGTGAAAAATCAGCACAGCTTTCATCAAAATTAGAAAAATCAGATTAGGAAAATAATTTTATTAGGTTTTCAGCTTGGAAAAAGAGAGATTTGTACAAGCTTGCTCATTCTACACTTTTGCTAGGGAACATCACACAGCTCTGCTGCACTGGCTTGGAGTGTGTATTTCCTTAAAGTGTTGAACAGAAGACTTGTCAGTTATTCACAGAGGTGCTTCCAGCCACTGATTCAGTAAATTCTCTCAGTGGAACGTTGTTTTGCCAGTCTGTTTTGCCCTGGGAATGACGATGGATTGAAGACACATAGACATCAACTCATAGGGTGAAGCCTCCATCTTTGCTGTGAGAAGGTACAGCTTATATAGTGTTAAACAAGCCAGCTTACACCACTCCATTGGTGTGGAAAAACAATTTGACTTCTTCTCTCCTTGGTTTTCCCCTGAAGCCTGGCCAGGGCCCAGGGGAAAATCAGGAGTCAATTTGGATAAACTACTGTCAAATGCCCTCATGGCTTTGACTAGTCTCTAAATACAGAACTATGGATCCATTTATATCTCAAAGGTGAACTAGCTGTGGCCATGTGAGGTCTACTGCTCTCGTGGCCTTGGCTGAAAAGAAAGTCATATTTATAACATATAGAACCTTTACTAATTATTAATAATGTGCTGTGCTAACAAGCATAAATGTGTACTCTTAAAGCATTAGTAAGGCTAATACAGTATCTTGGTTAATAAGCAGATATATGGCTAAATACAATACTAGGCTAAATATAATATTAGATTGAAAGATTGATCTGTAAGTCAACTTTGGCTCAGGATCTGTTCTTCAGGCCCCAGCATTAATAAATATTTCTGCTGACTTCAGAGGGCCTTTAGACAGGCCTTGAAAAATTTTTAATTGCCCTGTACTTGGCACTGATGAGGTCACAGCTCGAATACTGTGTTCAGTTCTGGGGCCTGCACTATGGGGAAGACATGGAGGTGCTGGAGTGTGTCCAGAGAAGGGCAATAGAGCTGGTGAAGGGTCCAGAGCACAGGTCTTATGAAGAGCAGCTGAGGGAGCTGGGGTTGCTTTGCCTGGAGAAAGGGGGGCTTAGGGAAGACCTGAAATTTTGCCTGGGGAGGTTGTGGGATCTTCACTACTAGAAGTTTCAGGAACAGGTTTGATAAATATCTGAAAGACATTTTGGATCTGTACATGTTCTTATGCCGTGATGGTTGAACTAGATAATCGTTTTTGTTGTCTTTTTCTTCTAATTCCGTGAATTAGATTTGTGACACCTAAACAATTCCTCAAATCAGATATAGTGCAACTCTTTACAACAGTGGGAATAATCTTCCTTTCTCTGTAGGATGGCTTTTGCATCTTCTGCCTTCCTTCTCCACTGATACATTCTCACAGTTTGTAGACATGAAAAGAGGAAACCTTGCATTTCCAGGACTCCAGACTATTCATTTCAGAGTTGGATTCAATGATCCTTGTGTGTCCCTTCCAGCTCGGAATATTTTGTGATTCTGTCGTTCTTGAAATACTCAAGTTCTGACAGCGCTGTGCCCATTACCCACCTGCAGTTCAGTGCTGAGGGTCATCTTCTAGAGCACTTTGGTTTCCTTTGGGAAGAATACAGCACACTGAATCCTTGCCCCAGGAAGACCAATCAGAATAACTCTCTTCAAAGAAAGAAGAAAATTCTCTTCCAAATCACTCTGGGAACATACAGAAATCTCCTTTCTGAAAATGTCTCCAGTAGGAGCCCAGAAGCAACATCATCTCATGCAAGTGACAGCTTCCCCTGCCCCCAGGGGCACACTGAGCACAGTTGGTTTGCCCCTGCTTTTCACAACATAATTGCAACTTCTGGAGTTGCCTCACCTGACAGTTCATTTGTTTTCAGCTGGAGTGGCCCCCAGCTATGATGAGAAATGCAAGTCAGACTTGTTTAGGCCTGATCCTTGGCCTCTGCCAGTTCTGCAGCTGAGGGTTTGTGTCCTGCTGGCATCCAGCAAACTGGGCTCTGGTTCCCACCCAGCAGCTGCTCTCCTGCCTCACCCTCTCATGCACCCAGCTTTGCAGCACCAGCACCACAGGCATTACCAATATTCTCTCAGCACTGCTGAAAACTCTTTACTTGGAATAGCCCATTAACTGGATTATCAGATAATAAAATTATCCAGAAAAACATCTTGACTTATATGACTTTGATAAATAAGAGACTGATATTCATTTTAGTCTATATGACCCTCACATATTGCTATATGAATGAGACCCACCCAAAGGATGGAGTATTGTAATGGAGTATACTCAGAGGAACCATGCTCTTGTCCATAGTCATAAATAGCTGATTGTCCAGGCCTAAATCCTTCTAAAACTGAAGAACTCTATAGTTTGCTAGCTTTGGGGAAGGTTTGAGGCACAGGCCTAGAGCTCACTTCCTCCTGCAAGTGTTTATTCCCATATTTTCTTCCACAGTATGTGGATACAAACAAATAAATCTTTAATTCAAAATTTACTGCATACACAAAAAGTGTGAATTTGTGCCCTTAACTATACCAGTTGAGGGGCTAAAAATGGATCCTCAGAAGACACCTAATCAGTCTCCCTTCCTTCAAACAGAATCAACTCTACCACATCCTTCCTGACTGCTGCTTGAACAACCAACCACAGGGTAAAAACCTCCCAGGACATCCTTCCCAGGAAAGCAGCTAAAAATCATCTTTACTGTTAAGGTTTTTCTATGTTTAACCTAAAGGTTTTTGCCTTAGTACAGTTCTTTCCTAAGATATCTTACAGTATGTGGGAAATTAGCAGGGCATCAAATAGAATAGCAGAGTTGAAAAAATAAGCCAGAAAAATAAGTCTAATATTTCCTACTAGTTCCTCTGCATGGATGGGTTATGTTTACATAATATAGCAAATATAGTGTCAGGCTTTTCTTAAATGCACTCAGACAACTGCATGCAATGCTAAGTTTGCTAAATCCAGAACTATAAGGAACTATATCCAGAACTTCTCAAGTAAAACACTTATAAATAATACACATTAATTAATATTCATACAAACGATACATATGCATTACATATTAATATAAAAGTCAGCATTGATAAAGCAAGTAGATACATGACCATAGTTCCTCAAAAAGGTGTTTGAGAACTAATATCTAAGCTGACATTATTGAGATGACTGTTGTGTCTTATAGCCCTCTACTGAGCTAC